ACACACACACACACACACACACACACACACACATTTAAATTAAAGGGACACGAAAGTTAGAGTTATAGACTCCAAGCCCATGTCCATGGCTGCTGGTGTGTCAGTTTATTCCTAAGCCATCTGGTTCACATATGCCGTAAGTCAAGAAGAAGGCTGCTTCCTGCTCAGATAACCACAGAGAGTTCCCATTTCACTTTCAGTGTGGTCATCTCAATTGGCTGGGGTGTGGCTTTGAGAATAAATTGTCTCCAGTTAGGGTTTTTCCCCTGTTTGTTTTCTTCTCTTCTTAATTAATAGGGATTACAGCAGGCCCTGTGTGGTTAGCGGGGTGATGCTTGGCTCGTGATTAGTTCATTCATTCATACTGCCTTGCAGGACCATGAGCCTGGCATTTTGTGGCAATAAGATTTGCAAACAAGGAAAAATTGGGCTGTTAGATTCCATTCACTCAAGTTGTTATGAGGATTTCAAGGAAATTATAGGCTTGTCTTACTATAAAGCAGAATCAAGAATCTATTTTTAGGGGATTCTACTCGAGGGCTTTTCTTGGTGTTTTGCCATCTTTCTTAGCTCGCAGACCCAACACAAACCCTCTCTGGCTCAGTGATGGAGGAAATGTCCATACTCCTTTTTGCCTTTGCGTATTTCTCTAAAGGACACAGAGAGGCTTTGTTGTCTTTGTGGTCACCGTGTCCGCTTTACACAGATGCCTATTAATCACTTTGCTATGGAGACAGACACATCCATCATATCACAGCAGCTCAGAAACAGGCAGTCCAGTGAAAGGCGGTGAGAGGGGAAAGTGCACACTTAACCGTTTCGAGTTAGGTTAGCGGCTGCCTGGGTCTTACACATTTACGGTAGTAATTGGGGTAGGGGTGAGTAGAGCTCTTCCTTTGTATTTAGCTTAATAGGTGCAGTCGATTTATGTATTTTTGCCTGTCTGTTTTGCTTTGCATTTTGATAGGACAGATAGCATCTCCCAGCTATTTGTGTAAGGTGCAGGGGATAAGTGTACTTGAAGATTGAGAGTTTTAATTTTAAAAAACAGTAATAGTAAATGCAGGTAGACTAGCTGTGCTTTTGATGCAAAGATACTGACTCTTTGAAGCCAAGCGTTTTTCGATGATGGATTCAATGTGGAACAGAGCAAGCTGAAAGTCAGCTTTCTCAGGCAAGAGAAACTGCAGATAAATTAACGAAGAACTTCCCTTCTATGAGTGGCAGGTCTTCTAAACCTCTTTTTTAGTCATTCAAGGCTATCCACAACCTTCCAAATGGTGTTTTTAGCTCTTGCTCTTACATTTTCTCTATACGTGCTCATTCATGCATACATTCATTTACTATTTATTTAAAAGATATTTACTGAGCACCTTTGTGCCTGAAGATTCAGTGGTGAATTTTAACAGTCTAGGGGAGAAAAACAAGTATCACACTAGTGATGATCCTAGGATAAAGGAAATGCAGAGCTCTGAGGACACTTGTAGAAGGAAAAACTTACCTAACCTAAGGAGTCAGAGAAGGCTTCCCCATTTAAGCTGAGCCTTAAAGATAGGGTCTGATGAATGGGAAAGTGAGTGGGTATATTCCAGGCTGAGGGAACAGCCTGTGGCTAGAGTATGGAAGGGTGACTCATGACTATAGCCTAAGAGACTGGAAGGGAGTTAGACCGTTTGCTGTTAGTGAATATGGCCTTCACTTTCCTTTTCTCCAAGTCTCAGTTCTTGTTGCTCTCTCCACTCCAGCTAAAATACTGTGCATCCTTAAGGCTTAGCCAAATGCCATCTCCAATGTAAAGCTTTTGCCCACTGTTGAAGTGGAAGTGATGTATCTCAGGACATAGCCACACTTCGCAGGCTCGACTTCTCCCCTGCTGGTCTGTGCCCCGTTCGCCATTGTCCTTCCCCACCTAGTGCAGTGCTTGGCAAATATTTGCTGAAGGTAGCCACAAAGCGGCTTAGAGCCAAAACCTTGTTATACCAGGAGAGAGATAATAAAGACACAACCCAAGCCTCAGGTAGGGGGAAACATCATTTCTAAAGCAAATTGTCTCAGAGCCTGGTGCTAGGTTCCCTGTGTACAGAATCCATCCGTGAGCAGGGCTACTAGGAAACATTTCTTAAAATAAGGAATGTAGTGTTTGATATTTCAAAATGTATTAACATACTCATCATAAGAAAAGTCAGAATTGTATTGTGCTTCCTCTTAGTTTACAGTTTACAATGTTCTTATTTTGAATCGCATGTGGCAGGGCCTGAGGGCTGGGTCCTTCATAATCTTTTCACTGCTTTGGACTCTAAAGAACTTCAAATTGCCTCTCTGAGGCCTCCCTCCAGCATCTGAAAACTCTCTCACCTCAGAAAAAAAAAAAAAAGAAGAAGAAGAAGAAGAAGAAAGAAACCAACAGTTGAGATTCTATTCTTTCTCAGTTCTGCCGATTTCAGACATGATTTCAGAGAAATCTCTTACCCAGTGTGTGCCTTGCTTCCTGCAATAGGAAGGTGGAAAGAACAACCATTTAACACATTATGACTAGTGAGAAATAGCTGGTGGTTAATGAATCAATGCAAAGGATTTTTCAAATACTGTTTTCATTACTAAGGCCCCATTTTCAATTGGTGAGAGCAGAAGACCCAGGGTTTGGTAGAGGAAGGAATTTCAAGACCCTAGGTAGAGAAACCAACTCTGAGTGTTCTCTCTGCAGTGGGGGAGGATACCTGGGGAGGGAAGTATACCATTCTCATGGGCCCTTTTCTGCTTGCCCAGGATTTCCATGCAGCATCTGAGCAAGGGATACTCAGCTCCAGCCTGTTGCCCTTTGCCCTTTGCAGAGATGCATTTTCTTTTTCTAATTACTCAGTTCCACTGGAGCACTCAGTTGTTGCAAGTAACCCATTTACTGTCATTGACTCTTTTGGATTTATCCCAGAATGAATTTCATTTTTGAAATAGTTTCTCTTATTATTTTGAGCAAATACTGAGCACCATTATAGATTTATTTTTATTTGTCTGATAGATGCTACTATTAAAATTATTTTATATGACTAGAGATAGAATTTATTTCCATGACTTCAAAAGCAACGTGACAGTCACTCTAAAGATGACCTCCCAAGTTTAGAAGTTCATTTAAAAATAGCTTTACAGTGTATTGAAAACCCATTTATTCAGCAATCATTTATTGAGTTACCCAACTAAGAGCTCTGTGGATGGCAAGGGATATAAATGCAGATAAAATATGGCACTTGCCCTCAAAGAGGTGATTGTAGGATTGCTACTCCACTGAGACTCCAACTAAAACTGCCAACATTTTCCACTTCTGTTGTTTTAATTATTTCCAAATTCAGTAACTACAGGCATCCTGAAACAGTATGCGTTCCCTTACATTGCTTTGACATCTCATGTCACCTTTTAGCTGCATTTAGATGCACAAAGTTTGGACCTGGAAGCACAGGTCTACTCCTCTCCCGTGGAAGACCAATAGCAAATGGACTCCAATGGAGCAGTGCAACCACCTCTCAGAAGCCCTCTGTGAACCACTAACCCACCTCTTCTTCTATGTGGCTTCTTTTGAGCTTTAGCTTTGTCCAGTAAACTATAGCATTTAAGCTCTTTCCTACTTTTTATTTCCTTTGATTCTTGTAACAGCCCAGTAAGGTAGTAAGATTAAATGTGTTCACCTCATGCTGCAGATGAAAAAACTGAGGCCCAGAGATGTTAAGTCACTTGCCAAAAGGCTGCTCAGCCAGTAAGTGGGAGCCTGCAACTCCAGACCCATTGAGATCCTCTCTAGCTGCTTATATCACCACCCCTGACAAGTCTGCTCTTTCCAAGCCTTCACAATGGCCATACCACAAAGTTGATTTGATCATTTCTTTGAATGCTTCTTTGGCCTTTTTCATGATACAAGCAGAAAGCTTTGGAAAGACATTTCCAAAAATAACATTTACCTTATCTTCTTCAACTGCACTTTCAACTTACTCTCTGATCTATTTCTATCTTTGGATGTTTCTGAATCTGCACAAGCAGATGAGGAAAGCCCTCTACCTCCCCATGGATAGATGAAGAGATGCAAAAATATTTTTAGGGCCACTCTTTATATAACAAAATGAGATGGGGGAAAAAAAATCTGTCTGAGATACCATTTCCTGAAAGGTCAGATCCTACTAAACTCGTTAACAACCCAAAACCTGAACTCAAATATCATCCACTGAAAAAGAGTTCTTCCCAGTGAAAGAATAAGTAGCTTTCATAAGTCCAAAATAGCCAAGGACCTTCAGACGTGAAAGAAGAATGATACTTGGGAGCTAAAAGGAAGGTTAAGAAGCAATGGAGAAATGTGAACAATTTGTAAGTTTCCCAGTGCAACAAATGAATTGCTGTAGCTTTATCTTTCCATGTTCCTTTTAAACTGATAGGGCAATTTAAATTGTAGAATGCTAAAGTCAATTGTAGATAGCTTCCTATTACAACACACATTTATTGGGACGATCCAGTTCCCCTAAATTTGGTTGCCTGAAACGGTTCCATGAAATACTCATTGCCATGAAAAAATTACCTAATATATCTCCAACTCATCACTGGAGTCTAGCCTGTGTTAAACTCCCACTGAAATCACCAAGTCAGTGAGGGAAATTAAAACCCATTTTAACCACAGATGTATATTTTTGTGTAATTATATGTAGGGGGTTGAAAATGATGTTCAGTAGAACCCCACACATAAACAAAATTGAAAGAAAATCAATTTCTTTTTTAGCATAACAAGGAAATGCAAATTTAAGAAAAAATTTTCATTAGCATATTTCCTTGGTGAATAGGTATTAAAATATATTTGAATGCAGGATACCCCACTGTTTGGGGAGCTCCACACATAAAAGGTGTGAGTTATAGCCAAATTTTCTGGCTGTTTTTTTGCTTCTCAGTTTCTACCCCTCAAAATCTGATGGAGATAAATCTGGAAATATTTGAAAAGTGTCACATTTGGAAATTATTTGATATCTTACCATCTTGCATACTCTTTCCTTATGGTGAATGGCCTCGACTGCCTTTTATTACTGAGGGTATTGGTTGGATCACAGAATTTTTATTTCTCAAGAGATATTTGCTGCTTCTACTTATTCCCACCTGAAGTCACAATCCTTTGTCACAAGACAATCATTTCCACAGCAACCAACTGTGATGTCACAATTGAAGAGAGGAGGACCCTTAGGAAGGAAAGAAAAAGAGAATATACTTTTCAGGCTAAGGTTTCTGGGTTTTAAAACCATCACTTCAGAAATCAAAACATTTTAGCTGAAAAACCCCTATGACAAAGCTTCAAGGTCTCAGTTGTGACAAAGAAAATATTTCAGCAGAAGTTTAAGGGTTGCATGTTGTGGGTTTGGGAAGGGGTAGAGATTTTTATTTCCTTTCATTCTAATTCTGTGCCACTGATACCTGCCAGAAAAATACACTAAACATATTCCAGAAAGAGTTGATTTAGTAGGTGAAAAATGTGTCTCCTGAGACCAGAGAAGGTACATTTTCTGTCTTGCTATCATTTCCATAATAGGAACAATGTTTACATTTCCTTAGCCCATGCAGTGCCTCTAATGTATTCATGTTCTTTCACTCTCCAGAGGCAGGAATTGAGGTATTTGAGATTTTATTTTTTAGCAACTGCATCAAGCACTTAAGATCTGACAATTGTGATGTGTATTCTCACTTGGCATTAAAAAATAAAAGTTTCAGTGTTTGCATTTTGATTAGAGTTGCTCAGCTTGGTGGCTGATTAAGCAGGAACAGGGAAAGCACTTTCCTTCAGAAACACTGAATCCTGGTTAATGTAGTGTAAGATTATGGATGGATGTAGTCACATAATTTTTATTAAATTGAAGAGATTAGTTCTGCTGAACAATCTCACTGTGACAGCAAACTCTAGGTGCAATAATGGGTCCTGACACTACTCAAATCCACTCAGGGCCCCAAATGGTCTTGTTTCCAAACCTTCTTTCAGTTCCAGTGAGAGAGCTTCATTCAGATATTCAGCATATTTACCTGAAATTGAGTTTGCACATTTTTTTTAAGACAGGTGATGCAAAATCAGCACAAACGTTTGTAGTCTGTGAACTTGAGCCATATTCTCTCAGTGTAAATAAAAATCACACACACACTGTTTCCTCTAGTTGCTTGAAAGGCAAACACCCTTTTCCCTAGGCAGAGGCTCCAGTGCCCACAAGAAGGGTGTCAGAAAAGATCCCAACTGGAAGCCTAGAGTGTTGTGTGATTCGCTCGTTTAACATGCATGAAATTGTTGCCTCTTCCTCCAGACTCAGGATAAGGTGGTTATCTCAATTCTAGGAGGGGAAGATTAAAAAGCCATAAAGAGGGAACGATAAATAACTTCTGAAAGTCAAAACCTGCCGTATTCCATGGAGTGAAGCAGAGTAGAAAGCGCAGGTACTGGAGAGAGTGAACAGCGCTGTTTTTGTTTTTGTTTTTTGTTTTTGGGGGATGGCCCTGTGGCCCAGGCTGGAGTGCAGTGGCGCGATCTCAGCTCACTGCAACCATTGCCTCCCAGGTTCAAGCAGTTCCCTGCCTCAGCCTCCCGAGTAGCTGGGATTACAGGCACCTGCCACCACACCAGCTGATTTTTGTATTTTTAGTAAAGATGGGGTTTCACCATGTTGGCCAACCTGGTCTGGAGCTCCTGACCTCGTGATCCGCCCGCCTTGGCCTCCCAAAGTGCTGGGATTACAGGCGTGAGCCACAGCACCTGTCCTGAACAGCACTTTTTTAGACCACAAAGAAGGCAACAAATGGAGTCCATTTTACATACTGCACATGAGGGGACTGGGGAGGATTAATTAGTTAATGTTTGGCAAGCTGAGTTTGGAAGACAAGTTAGGCAGAGGTGCTGTTGTCACTTACTACTGTTATTAATTAACAGGGTGAATGCCAAACAAAAACAAGCCTCGGGGTGTGCTTTCATTTCTTAACGCCATATGCCACATCTATTGCAGGAGTGATTCGGGAAAGTTACCTCAAAGGCCACGACCAGCTGGTTCCGGTCACCCTCTTGGCCATTGCAGTCATCCTGGCTTTCGTCATGGGGGCCGTCTTCTCGGGCATCATCGTCTACTGCGTCTGCGATCACCGGCGCAAAGACGTGGCCGTGGTGCAGCGAAAAGAGAAGGAGCTCACCCACTCGCGCCGGGGCTCCATGAGCAGCGTCACCAAGCTCAGCGGCCTCTTTGGGGACACCCAATCCAAAGACCCGAAGCCAGAGGCCATCCTCACGCCACTCATGCACAACGGCAAGCTCACCACTCCCAGCAACACGGCCAAGATGCTCATTAAGGCAGACCAGCACCACCTGGACCTGACAGCCCTGCCCACCCCAGAGTCTACCCCAACGCTGCAGCAGAAGCGGAAGCCCAGCCGCGGCAGCCGCGAGTGGGAGAGGAACCAGAACCTCATCAATGCCTGCACAAAGGACATGCCCCCCATGGGCTCCCCTGTGATTCCCACAGACCTGCCCCTGCGGGCCTCCCCCAGCCACATCCCCAGCGTGGTGGTCCTGCCCATCACGCAGCAGGGCTACCAGCATGAGTACGTGGACCAGCCCAAAATGAGCGAGGTGGCCCAGATGGCGCTGGAGGACCAGGCCGCCACCCTGGAGTATAAGACCATCAAGGAACATCTCAGCAGCAAGAGTCCCAACCATGGGGTGAACCTGGTGGAGAACCTGGACAGCCTGCCCCCCAAAGTTCCACAGCGGGAGGCCTCCCTGGGCCCCCCGGGAGCCTCCCTGTCTCAGACCGGCTTGAGCAAGCGGCTGGAAATGCACCACTCCTCTTCCTACGGGGTTGACTATAAGAGGAGCTACCCCACGAACTCGCTCACGAGAAGCCACCAGGCCACCACTCTCAAAAGAAACAATACTAACTCCTCCAATTCCTCTCACCTCTCCAGAAACCAGAGCTTTGGCAGGGGAGACAACCCACCGCCCGCCCCGCAGAGGGTGGACTCCATCCAGGTGCACAGCTCCCAGCCGTCTGGCCAGGCCGTGACTGTCTCGAGGCAGCCCAGCCTCAACGCCTACAACTCACTGACGAGGTCGGGGCTGAAGCGTACACCCTCGCTAAAGCCGGATGTACCCCCCAAACCTTCCTTTGCTCCCCTTTCCACATCCATGAAGCCCAATGATGCGTGTACATAATCCCAGGGGGAGGGGATCAGGTGTCGAACCAGCAGGCAAGGCGAGGGGCCCGCTCAGCTCAGCAAGGTTCTCAACTGCCTCGAGTAACCACCAGACCAAGATGACCCGGGGACTGCTGGGTCCTCCTCTCTGGGACACAGGGGTACTCACGAAAATTGGGCCGCGTGGTTTGGTGAAGGTTTGCAACGGCGGGGACTCACCTCCATTCTCTTCCTTCACTCTCCTCCACACCCTACCACAGGTCGGACCCACAAAAGACTTCAGCTATCATCACAAACATGAGCCAAAAGCACATACCCACCCCATCCCCCATACACACACGTGCACAAACGCGCGCGCGTGCACACACACACACACACACACACACACACACAGACGCATAGAGGTGAACAGAAACTGAAACATTTCGTCCATAACTGCACGGGACGTGGCCACACTGGGTTAGCGTTCCAACCTGCAAAACACAAATACATTTTTTAAAATCATGAAAATTTAAAAAGACAAAAAAAAAAAAAAAAGAAATCATTGATAATTCTAACTCAGACTTTTAACAATGGCAGAAGTTTACTATGCGCAAATACTGTGAAATGCCCGCCAGTGTTACAGCTTTCTGTTACAGCAGATAAATGCCATATTGGGCAACTATGTCATAGATTTCTGCTCCTCCTCTCTTTTAATGAAATAACGTGACCGTTAACGCAAGTAACTCTTTATTTATTGTTCACCATTTTTTTCCTTAAGGAAAGGACTCTTCCAAATACCATCCTACGAACAGCTCTTCAGAAAGCCCATTGAAAGTTAAACATTTAACGTGAAATCCATTAACTGGAATAATTGAGTTTCTTTATTTTTACAATAAATTCGCTGAGTAAAGAAGTTGGAGCTGGAATTCTGAGCTTTGTGTTTGGACTGTCTGGTCTGTAGCTGAAGGAAAAAGTTAGGAGGGGGATATTTATTTAAATCTATCAGTTCATATGCTGGTCAGGTCGCTGACCTATAAGCATACAAAAAAATTAATTCATGTCAAACTCCTTCCAGATCCTAATTTCTAAAGCAATCAGGAGAGAAGCTTTTAGAATGGCACGTCATATCCCACTGGTGCCAACACGGCTTTGTCTGTGGTTCTGACTTTCTGTGAAGGCACCAGCTTGCAATACGCCATCTCATTTCACCTTGCATGTGAGACAGCAAACAAAATCCACAAATGGTGTGAAGTAATTAATATGCTGGCTGCTACCTTGCATAAATTAATAATTTGATCACACGGGTTTTTCGTGGGGTTACATCTGTGAATAGCCTGTTTTCCACATGTAAATTTGTGCCTTACACCTTGAGTTGTGTACACTTGTAAACTGTCGTTATGATCAACTTTTCCCCCTTTTGAAATAAGTGCAGATATTTATTTAACCCTCCCTTCCCCCCATCCCCGCTCCAGTCCTCTGGAAGATTAGAGTCAAGCAGATGGAAGAATGCAGTGGTGATAGTTGTCATGCCACAGCCTGGGAACGCTGGGTGGCACCACACCCTCCGATTCACACTGCCTTCTAGTTGTGCCAACTCGAACCACCCTTTGGCTGTGCTGCAAGCATGGGCCCCAGTGTTGTGGGTGGCAAATCCCTTTTCTTCCTCCAGAGCTCCCTGCTTCTCTTAGATAATTTCAATATAGTGATATCCTTATTGGCCAGCAGAAAAGGGACTAATGTCCCAGTATTTTCTGCTGTGTCCACCGGCTAGAAAGCAGGCTGTGTGCGGTTGGGCAGACACCTGGGAGGAGTCTCCAAGCCATGTGCACAGCACATACGTGCAGTGCACACAAAGAAATGAAATGAAAATAGATGCAGGCAGGCTGGTCCCTGCTGTGGTTAATGAGTAACTCCAAGTACAAGGCGGACCACAATGGATGCTGCAAAAACATTGACTGGGGCAAAGGATTTTTTATTTTATTTTTTATATTTTTACCCTTTTGTTGTTATTGTTTTTAGGGGGTGGGAGGTGGTGTGTGTGTGTTTCTCCCCTTGGTTTTCATTTGCTCAAGCATGCAAAAGGGACTTTTGTTTATTCCATCATGAACAAAGGAACTGTCCACATACTGTAAACCATGAGCAGTGTTGTTGGGTATTTTAAAACAGTTAAACAGTATATTTGGTGGTCTCTTTTGTCTGTTTTTATTTCTAGTTGGATCTTCTGGGTTTAGTTTTGCCTTTAAAAACAATTAAAAAAAAAAAAAAAGATTGGCAATGACAGTTTCAAGTTGTATAGTGAAAAAGTGGAGCCTCCGTAATCAGTGTGGTTGGCTTCAGACCTGAGTACTTAGCTGAGGGTGAGTGAGACCCCTTTGTTCCAAAAGTCCACTGCAGTTTTGCTGTTGTTTAGGGTAGATTTTTGTCGTTGTTTTTGCTTATTTTTTTTTTTTTTGTCGGTGGGGAGGGAGCTTTTGTAATGGAATCCATGTTTGCATCCTGTGAACTCTGTCCCCTGAAACCCTGAAGTCTTTTTTAGAAATCGAAATATTGTTTTCTTCCTTGAATTTTCTTTAGAAATGCAGAAACTAGGAAGGCGATGGGTCTGTATCACCCTGCCCCCTTCTTTCCCATGCTTGACTCCCAAGAGTACTGGCAGTGCAGCACCCATCATTGCTGTGAGCGGCTGGCTGGCTGTCTTGTCCTGTGTTTGTGGGCATCACTGCCTCAGCAGTTAAGGAGACCCGTGTCAAAACTTACATCCACATTCCTACAACCCCACAATGCATCACTTCTGGTGTTAACCCTGAAATGCCCACATGTATTGAGCTGGTCTTCTGCATTTAAGTATTTCTCCCCCTTTTTTTCCCCCACTGTGTGTCGGGGGAGGGTCCATAAACCTGAGTGTGCCTTTGCTTTCCACCCTTGCTAGACACTGGTAGATGCAACAAACTCAGATTTATATTTGTTGTAAAGTTGTAAAAATATTGTGATGTCACCAATTTTCCTTCCATCTCCACATCCCCTAACTTCTGATTCACGACTTAATGTATGTTGTAAAAAAAGGAAAAAAGAAAAAAAAAGAAAAGAAAAGCAAAAAAGGGAAAAAAGAAAAAAAAAACAAGGAAGAGGCTCTTTATTACTTAAAAGTAATAAAACCAGACTGTTCTACATTATCTTTTGTGTCCTGAATGCTTTTATTGGTCTCCTAATTTTTCCTTTTTTAGTGGCTCTCCTCCCTGCTCTTTGTGGTTATGATTCTACTCTTTCCCCAATTTCTATCTGGCTTCCAAAGCATAAATAACAGTATAGTTTGATGCATTTGTTTGCAGTGTCCACACCCAGCCACCCCCACCCAATTATTGATGTGTTTCTATGCTTGAACCCAGCGTGGAGCAGGATTTTAGCAGAAGCCACCAGTAATTAAAAGGCAGAGCACACATTGGCTCCCTCTATTCATTTTATGCATTTTCTTTTTATGGGCTTGTTCATCATCAAACATTTATGGTAGACTTGATAGTTTAAGAGATCAAGGCTAGGATTTCAGTATGTAGGGTCCACTAAAAATAGATCCTTGCACAGATGTGACTTCAGTCTTTTTACATATTAATAAGGTGGAGGGGGCTGGATTTGACTCCTTGTTAGCATTTATCTTTTGTAACCCAGAAGACACGGTTGGAGGTATATTGGGACACAGCACTTGACTTTTCTTCTGCAGAAGAGCATTATGAACTGTCTAGATCAGGTTTTCCTCTAGGATTGTTTTTAAAATAATTATTTAAGTAGGTCTTCAGATACAGTATTTTAACCTTCTGAATTTTTTTTTTTTAATGTTTTAAGTCAGTTGAGTATGGGAAGCTGCAGGTTGAGGCCTCAGTTCATACCTATAGTAGCCCAGTTACCTTTGGATTGCCATTTCCAATAGTGTTTCACAAATCGCATCCACAGCACCTGGCTCTGTTAGGCACAAAGTTGACTAAAATGTAGTTTCTACCTCCTTATTTGCAAAGAGACACTGACATGGGCCTTGTAGTTGCCATTTGGATGTAAGAACAAAGTACTCAGGAAGCTTCTCAGAGGTTAGGGTCACAATATTTACACTAGTTCTTAAGGAATGAATTCTCTGAACAACTAGACCAGATGGAGGGGACATCC